TGCTGAAACATGCCCTTTTGGCAGCCAGGCAAAGAAACCATAAAATACATGTGCGTGGGGTGCGTGTGTTATTGTATAAAAGAGCTTTAAGTTGTAAATGTGCTCAGAACAGTAGATCAGTAGAGAACAGAACTGGGATTAGATTAATCGCTGGAAGTAGTTAGCATTGCATAATTTAAGTACTACTCATAAATTCTAACCAAATTGCAAATTTCGACACGTTATAATGCCGTTTCCTGACCATCAGATTTCTGTCAAATCTTCCCCCAAAGTCCAGGAAATGGCATTTCAGAGACTCGACTAAATTCAAAAATTTTCCTGGGGGCATGCCCCCGGACCCCCCTAGACAAACCTCGCACCTGCGGCACTCGGCTCGTGCCTTCGGCCCTCGTTTATCAAGTGTAACATTATAGGGGCGCATATTGGCTGACAGCCCACTGGCCCCTCCAGAAAAATAGTACCCAGCACGCCACTGGCTGCTAACGTTCTGGGAAGGCCTGCATAGGCTACCAACTGGTTAAGCAATATCTCCGACACATATTGCTCCATATACAGCATCTTGGCCATAGATATCTTATATACACTAGATCTAATTATTCTGCAATTCAAAAATTGAAGCCGTGATTGCAGACTCAGGATATTCCCATGAAATGAGAAGACTCGTATGTTTTCTATTTAACCGCTGGAATATTCTTGGCTTCAATTTTACTAAAAGAGATGCGCTACCTAGTATATATAAGATATCTATGATCTTGGCGCAGATACATGTACGCCTAGCGTACCTATTTTTAAAGTTTGAAGACGTTTAAAAAATGTTTACATTTGCAGACGGTTAGGAATGGAGGATTTCTATTGTGCAGCAACAGTTTCAGATCAGTGCCTTACCTGCAAAATATACCTGATCCCTTCCGCTCCCTCCATATCCACTACAGTCATCGAGATCACGTTTCACCCTCGTCACGTGTTTCCATCTCTGATCAGGGTCCCGTATGTATATTTCCAAATGATCGAACAGTTCTTTGAAAGTCATTTTGATTGACATACATGCCGTGTCTGAAAATAGCATTAGAAATTACTATTGCAAAAAAAGTACTGCATCTTATAAGCAAAATAGAACGTAATAATGATATTTAAAGCATTCCAATATTTCCCCGAATCTGTCAGACATATTTGTTTAACATTTGTACGTTAATAAACGATGAAATATATCTTAGAGTTGAATATAAAAATCTCTACATGAGTGTCAGCGAGACTGTCCTCTCGTGCATGGCGTTCCCGCCATTGCTAAACTTCGCTACTATTACAGGAACACAGCTTGCTTCCTTCAGAAGCATACATTGTTTCCTTCAGTCCGGTATAAGATATACAGCGTTTTATTGTTCGCTCACCTTCGGCAAGAAGAAATTAAACAATGCTTCGAAAAGCATGATTTCTAATTTCACAAGGTTTTACTTATATTGCCTGACAATTTTATTCCTTAACGGTGAAGAACTCAAACACTGCAATTGATGACAGAGTCATCCAACATTTAGAATATGTAGTTACTGCATTTACTCACAATAGAGAAAAGCTGGCCACCACAGTAGTCTACAGTTTAACTGTAACAACGTATTTATAGCAGCAAATCCTTCCTCTGTAGTCTTGAGATATCTGGAATTTAGACTTCGTAAACCAAACAGTTTTCTGTTGGAAAACCACGGCTGAAAACCATCATTTAACATACGAAGCTGACGCAAAGTTAAGAATACTATTTCACTAGGAATTTCGTTTAAACTGTTCATGACCCAACGGATGGAAACCTAAACTAAATTTCTTCTATTTATGGAGGTGGTGGCTAGGGGTAATAACCACCCTCAAAAAAAAAGTGGAAGAGAGGGAGCTGAGCGCCCTAAAAAAGAGCACAGTGGGAGAACTTAATACGAAGGTGTCAGGCTTCGATGCCAATGTCTTCGATGCCTGAAATGTAAAATTGAACAACATAACCTGGTTTATGGTACTTCTTGTTACTAGTTTTTGTCAGACCTTTCTCAGGACGGAGGATCGGAATGCCTTCTCACAAACTCTAGATAGCAAACTAGAAACTCTCTTTCAATTCATACACGACTGAGCCTGATGTACGTGAACAATCACACAACTATACTACTAATTACCAAGACAAGTAATGAAAGCCTTGGTTACAGAGATTACCAAGAAAAGTAATGAAAGCCTTGGTTACAGAGATTACCAAGACAAGTAGTGGAAGACTTGCCAGAGGTTACCAAGACAAGTACTTGAAGACTTGGTTACAGAGATTTGGTGGACAAGTTATGGCAGCCTTGGTTACACACGTGAAAGCTACATGCTCTAGAAATATCGACCAATTTCAGGTAGCTCAAACACAAACCACGGAAGCTTATTTTATAATACTACCTATAGTGAGTTACGTCAAGGATACATAATGTGTGCCAATTTCATGATCTGCCAATCCCTTGATGCCTTGCTGTCGTAAGAAGACATTTTCCGCAGTATTTTTCAACCACAAACAATACCTTCGTTTTTCAGGTTTATTGAAATGCACACATGGTCCAGTCCAAATTATCCGTCCACAACAATCAATCTCGCTTGACCAAATGATTTTTAACGCACCTTCCAACCTAGTAAGGCATTCAAAATTTATGTTGGGGAATGGAGAGTTTAATAAATAGATAAGATTTTGTCTGTTCCGAGTTATAGATATACAGTGTGACTTCATATTGTGGGAAGAACAAGGATATGGCTCACGAGCCGAGAAAACTCTCATGCAAACTTCGCTTCTCAACTATCATCGGGACTTATCCTCGTTTGAGCAGGGCTTTAATAGATGCTTGCAAAAATCACTGGTACAAACCCTTCCGATTGTAAGTAATCTACTAAATATTTAGTAGCTTCAGCTTGACTGATTTGTTCACCAAAAACCTCGTCTAAATATCTGTCCCCACTTTGGTATTTTTCATTCACAATATCGAGTATTCGTTTCGCTTCGTTCAAAAATTCCAGGGAGACTTTAACCTGTTTTCTTCTTTGAAAACTTTCGCCCATTAATTTTTCTGAACGGCTTTTTGGTATTTTACCATGACGAAAAAAGTAATCCTTTTCGTTATTCGGGATGCTTTGCGAACTCCTTTGCCTGCCCGGTGTATTAATAGTTTTTACGACTGTTTTTCTTGCGTTGGAGAGTGATAGCTTCATACCTTTCTGTGTGACGTAATAATTCGGTAATTAGTCGTTGGTGCGTCTGCGCATGCCTACCCGCTAGCCCGTCCAAACTGGCGAACGTGCATTCACAAGTTGTTACAGGTCTCCAGGTTTGCTAGAGGGTTGAGACAAGCTGACATCAATCACATTTGCGCCACTCTTTTGAAGATACACAGCACGTAAAAACGCACAACTTGTAATAAACCTGCAACAGACAAAACCGCGGTTCCTTCTACTCGCACAACATTGTTCAATCCTGCTCTCATGATTTCATCAATATTGCAACAACCTGATCGTTTTTAGCTGTGTACACGGCTAAAAACGCACAGGTTGTTCCAAGTTGATATCGACAGGCGTGAAAAATGTTGTGCGGCCAACTATGAAAACTCACAAAAAATGTAAATAAAAATAATTTATAACTTTATAAAGTTAATTTGTATTAGTGGACCTCATATATCTTGAACCTGACATTATCTGACACTATTCTCCTTTGTTATATTAGTTTGTTTTTTTAATTTTTTAGGGTGGACTACTAGAAAAGCCCTGACGGGCTTGTTAGTCTTCCTTCCATATGAATTGTATCTTTATATTTTATCAAAACTGTAACTGTATAATGGCAAAAATAAAAATATCTATCTATCTATGAACAAGCTAGTTGTTAACCATGTTGTTCCAAGTTGTTACAGTTGAACAATGCTGTAACAACATGTTAACAATACTGTTCATAGTGGGCCGCACAACCTTGTTCACGCCTGTTGATATAAGCCTGGAACAAGTTGTTGATTTTCTTAATTTTTACCCGTGTAGCTCTCGTTCGAAACTGACGCGTGCGGTCATGTTTTCGCGCCAAAACATTCGGAATGGTTAAAGTACTTCATGTAAGACCCACAAAATAGATTGAGCAAATTATAAGGTATGTGTGATCATGAAAAGTCTGAAAGCCATGACTGTTTTAATTAATAACCTGCTTTTAATTACAGCTCAAACTATTATATGTTTCTTACACGATTGGCGACGTCCGATTGAAATTATATGCACATTGTCACAGGCAGCTAAAAATTATTAGTTTCACATTTTAGGGACGGGCATTTAGATTTTTGATGGGGTTGCTGTAGGGGGAGGGTGTTGCGGTGGAGGGATGGTGTTGCGGTAGGGAAGGTGTTGCGGTTGCCGGGTTGTTGAGCAATCTTTTTGTTGCAAGATATTTTTACGCTCGAGGCTGTGCAGGTTTTTCTATTTCGTCCTGGCTTGCTTGCAGGATGTTTTTGTGCGTTTAGGTACGTTGCATTGATCTCGCTGTGCTAGCGTAGGTAACCATGACAACAAACAAGCATATAGGAAGTACACTACCTAATAAATCTAAGCAGAACTTCGACATTTCGAGGTCTTTCGTCTTTTCCGAGCTGACCCTTTGCTTCCCAGAGAATTTCCCGTTCAAGAGTCATATCGTCCAACTTGTGCATCTGACCATAGCCTATCGGAGGGAAGATATCTGTGAAACTCATTAGAATAACAATATAACTCGTTACCTATGTTAGTCAACGTTTTAATATTCATAAATCTGGTCCTTCACTAGCCTGCATGGCAGGGGGTCTTTCCCGATTTTAGGGACCGCCTTAGTCCTTCACCGTCATGTGTGTATTGCATTTTTGCCCAACTATACCAATAGCAATAATGTATCAGTCAAATCCAAGAGTGTCCATCCCCTGGGCTTTTGACAATTTTCGAAAATATGCGACAAATTCCCGGGGGCGGGGATAAAAAACGCGTGAAAATGCCCCGCAGCAGGGAAAAAAATCAGTAGCAAATCCCCCACCCCGAGGACAGCTGAACTGTTTGGCTAAGGGAAGCCTCACATATCGATTTTGTCCATGAGAAACGTCATATGTTCGTTTCTCTGGAGACCCCCCACCCCCCCTTAGAAACGTCACCCATAGTTATCGATATTTTGTTCTTATAGTACACATAAAGTAATTTTCTACTATTTTTTTCGGTCGGCTATTGGCGATGCTTCCGCGAGGAATATGTCATCTTCTGCTGACATACTCTTTTTTTATTAATATATATGTGAACTTCAAAATTTCCAACGTTTCTCATGATCTTTTTTTGCATGAAATATTGATAATTTTAGCGCGTATTTCTTGAAATTTGAGTGTTTTCAAATGCAAAGAAGGCGTAATAATATAAATGTATTATGTATGGTATAGAACAGGTATGGTATTACGAATATATAGACTGCTGTTTGTATCAAATTGTTTTCTTTTTTATACTCTGCAAAGATAAAAACTATCGATTTTTTCCATGATGTTTACAGAGAAACGTCACAGCTGTCAACCCCCCCACCCCCAAACGAACATATGACGTTTCTCGTGGAAAAAATCGATATGTGAGGCTTCCCTAAGGGCCTGTTCATATGAGCAAAAGTTATCCCGGTCACAGAATAGGAAGTTATACCAGAAGCGTAACTCTAGTCGTTTCCCTTATTGTTTGACGTCCACGAAAATTTTAACTCGCTCACGTCAGGCCACGCCATCCTGGCTAGTACAACCGGAAGTTTTTATCAGGATTTGGTAGGTACAAAGTGCCGGTTGTACTAGCCAGGATGGCGTGATTGATGACGAATCTCTTGTAAAAACGCGGACAAATATTTGCTCGAGTTACGCTTCTGGTATAACTTCCTATTCTGTGTCCCGGTTAACGAGAAAACTTTTCGACTAGCCAAATACTTTTGTTCTGTTCATATGGAGAAACTTTATTCCGCTTACCGGGTAAAGTTTTCGGCTGTGACCATAGAGATTATAAATAACACTAGAGGAGGCATCGAGTTTAAAAATTGGGAACGCAGCTAATGGGGGGCAAATTCAAGTCCCGGATATAAAATCGTGCTCTCATTGGCTGATTTGAAACTCGTCACCAATGGGAACACGAATACACATCCGGGACTTGAATTTGCCCCCCAATAGTCGCGTTCCCTTTTTTTTTACTGAATTAAGATTACAATGCCTCCTCTAGTGTTATTTATAATCTCTATGGCTGTGACGTGGCACTGAACATCAATTGAATTGAAAAGTTGCTGACACGACAGAAAGTTATCCCGCTAAGGGGGAAAGTTGTGTTCATATGGGAAAAACATTATCCCGGTCACCGAGATCTCGCCTGTCAACAAGCGAGATCTCGGTACACGGGAAAACTTTTTGTCTCATATGAACGCAGTGTAACTTTTCATATTATTTTCATACCAAGGCGAGATCTCGCTTGTAAACTTGTCGAAACGTTTTCTCGCTAACCGGGATGTTTTTCCCATATGAACAGGCCCTAAGAAGAGTAGGTTATCCAACTACCTGAAAATAAAGAGAATAATTTTTTCGATCAAGTATTGTGCATCATGCTCTAGCGCATTTATTTTTAATGTTTGCGGCGTGGTTCAAATTCATGCGTTTTTAAACAACTTGACTGGTTTATATTTTATCAAATGTTCTGAAACTGGTATTGTTCTGTTTTATATTATCAAGTTATCGGTGATCCAAATCCTTAATTTCAAATGCCCCGTCGCCCGGGCAAAGGTTTGAGTTCAAATGCCAACCCCCCGGACGTGCTCTTGGTGGATTTGGCAAAATCGTGACAGTGAAGGACCAGATTTATGAATAAACGTTGACTAACATAGATGAGTTTTATATATTATATACACAAGGTCTGGATATGAGGTATTCTGCAATCTGATTGGTTCTAGTAGAGAAAAACAAAATGGCGGCTCAAATCGAATTTCCGACGTTTGCGAACGAGAAAACGGCATGTTGTTCGCTTTTTATTACCTTTACAGGATTAAAAACACAATGAAAAAACTCCCACAAATTGTTTACAGGTTAGCAAATTAATTTAAAAATATATATTTTTGAAAAAATTATCGGCCGAAAGAGCGAAGATAAAAACATAAACAAAATAGAAAAATATTGAAAATATCCGAAAAGCAAAGTCTGTGAATTCAGACCTTGTGTATATAATAAAACAGTTATTCAACTCACTCTCGTCGAATATGAGCGATAGCCGATGAGGGGCGCGTAGCGCCTCATCGGCTATCAGCTCATATTCGACTCGAGTTCGTAGAATAACTGTTAAATATTGTTATTCTAATGAGTTTCACAGCCATCTTCCTTTGATATAGACTATGACCTGACTTGAGGCCGAGTATAACTCAAATCCCGTTGAAAAATAAAGGGTTGATATGTCAGTACAGTAAATACACAACCTAACAAGGGTTTATTTATTTTATACGAAAAAAAAACGTAAAGACATTTATTTTGATACGTTACAATCCATTGTAAGACAAAAATACATCATCTTTTTTTGCTTTGCCAAGGCTGAGATTATTTCATGTGTTTCAATTTCACTCTAAAATATGAACCACGTTATTAAAGCGCTGGTGTTTGATTAAACTTTGTGAACAAATAATTATAGTGCGAATGCAGTATTATTATTGTACAAATATATCATTCTTTGTATTATTATACAAATATATCATTCTCTATCCACCATTCTTCTAGTTACGAGTGAGGACAGCTAGAGTTGTGAAACTGAAAACATAAAATACTCCCTCCTATCTTTTAAGAAACTACTAAAATATTTCAATAAATAGTCTGTATAGTATAGTATATGTAGATAACAACCACACAATTAACTCAACATACATGTAGTTATATTGCTTATATTACAAATTCACAACAAGACATCTATCCATCTACCTCACTATAACATTCTCATTAAATAAAGATATTCCAAATCTTTGCACGTTGCATGCAATAACATGAAAAGTGATAAAAATATTGTATTTACTATCTATGTATACGACGGGTAGTTTTCATTCCGAATTCCTGCAGTATCTAACAATTTTAAATAGTTATTTGTGTAAATGGTTCGCAGCCAAATCAATTCAAATTTGACTGATGGGAACGAGGTTATTGTAGCACAATGTCGAGCCTCGTTTCCAGTTGCTCTTCGACCCAATCTCGTACCCAGAGCCATCGTCAACGATGGCTCTGGCTACGAGATTGTCTTCGACCTGGCAGACATGGAGGCGCATAAATTGCATAACACGTACACTCGAATATGTTAACAGCAATAGAGAATCCGACCACGCCTACAACACTCAGACCCTCTCTCTCGACTTTCTGAAAATTATTTTAGGCAGGTATACGTGCCATATAATTATTTCGTCGTTTTAAATATGAAGATGTTCACTTTAGTAGTGGAGAGTTGAGTTTTTATATTTAGCGTAATCAACCTAGTATAATTCCACTAGTATAATTCAACAAACCAAGCCATGAAACGGTCTAAGACGACAATATTACGTCATTTTACGAAAAAAAACTCTGTTATGCAATCAGAACGACGTTTTACGGTATAACTTTCGAATGAATATTTTCCTACGAGCATACGACTTAGGAAACAAGCATCTCAGTTATAAGAAATAGCGGCCTTTTAAATTGTATAGTTCAAATTATATTAAGTGTTTCGTTAAAATCCAAATCTTACATTTCTTTAATTTTACATAGTCTTATTTTGTATCCATCTAACTAACTTTTCTTGTTATGTTGTTCAATGGTCAAACCTTCGCGTGCAGGTCTTCACCTCCTTAGCTTACCTTCAAATATAACATTTGAATTTGATAGAAAAGTCACGAAACTTAAGGAGCTTTAAGATTTCACATTTTGCCAGTTTTAAGCAAAGATGAAAAATATAAATTCGGGTGAATTTGGATGAAACTGTATCATTTCCACAAATTAAAGAATAACCCAATAGGCTGTCTCAATAGGGTTTCAAAAAGCTCTCCTAGAAAATTGTCCACTTTACAACTAGTGTACTTGTACACTACAGATATCCTCTCTACGTCTATATTTACACAGTCAATGTACTGGCGTCTCTTAATAAAATATGCCATTTGCATAGCCATTTGTAAACAGCAGACTTACAGTACAGTTAACACCGAGCTTCATCTTTGAAGTCTATCAATCACTACAGAGGTCATAGGAAGTTTGTTTTCCAAGTTGCTAATTTCAAATAGTCTATTTACGATACCAAGCATTCAAGCTGTCTGAAAATGTTCGTATGTATAAATACATAAAACAGATTTCAGGTTTTCAGTCTTTCGAAATCAAGGGCATTAATAATTTACTACATCTAACCATCAAATTTCTCAAAAAAAACCTGTAGGAGCATCAACGTATGGTCCAGCCACGTTCACTTTGAACCAGCCAAAGAGCACGATAAAATGTATATTAAAAAACACGAGTTAACTATTCTGAGTAAGCCGTGCGTACGTATTACCAGATTCAATATTGTGCAGACCCAAATGATGTTGAGCGTTTAATGTTGAAAACTGAACAGCAGTATTGGGTAAACTTGTCGGAGCACTTGGATTGATTCCCGTAGCAAGCTGACTGGGTACATGCATCACGTGATTAGTCATGTGACTTGTCGAATGATTGGTTGTTATGGCAGCTTGATTGGTTACACGACTCGCAATGTGTGGTATCTGTATGGTAGCGTTATCACGAGGTTTCAAAGGTGGAGGACCGTTGGTCATTATTAAAGATTCAGAATTTCCAAGATTTGGTTTTTTGGCCGGGGGTTCTTTATCATTACTGACGATCACGGGTGTTGGGACATAGGATTGAGGTATCCGTAAGAGACCAGACATTATACTAGAGCTAGAGCTGGTATAGTGAGCATTACTTGATGTTGGTCTGTTCAATATAACATTTTCCGTAGTTACAGTATGAGCACGACCATCCTCGAGGTTTGACTGCACAGTATGAGCACGACCAGGACTCCCTGCCCGACTCGAAGCAGCACTTTCATTTTCGTCCAAAAATCGATCCATGTAGTCACTGAAAAAAAACATTTTGTAGAATTTACACGTTCTAGTATAAAAACAACTGATATTATAATATAACACCTTATTAAATTCTGGACATTTAATTGGCTGATTATGATCACGTGATATGGAATAAAAATTACTACTTTGCTGAGCGTGCAATGGAACGCGTTAACTCATCATTTGGGAACATATGTGTTGGATTTCTATTAATTTTAAACATCGTACTGTACATGCAACTCAGGTATATATTTGTTTCGTATCTAATCCAATAACAAATCGATAACATTGATTTATTTTCAATTTTTGATGTTATGAATATTCCATCTTTCGCCGAATGAAAATAGTTCTACCATTGCACTCATAAACATTCATTATATGTTTTCTAGTAAACAACACGCTCTACGCGTTTACGAAACTATATGTTTTCCTGCTCATTAATAATTCATAAAAATAACATGCAATATATTTGATTCAAATCAAACGATTTGATTGAGCTTCGGACTATAATTAAAGCAAACGGTTTGAGGTTCATATTTGGCCAGGCAAATGCTTTGGATGGTTAATAAATAATGAATTAAAAGGGAATGATGGTACATAAACAGAAAATGGTGTTGAACCTTCAGGTTTTCTAAGATGAAAAAAAACAGTAGCTGTACGTCTTCATAGATTTGACAGATTGGGGTGTAACATTTTCGTTGAATTTAGCTTAGCAAATCAAATAAATTTATAAAAGGTAACTAACTCACTTTAACGGCAGAGTATCCGAGTTTGGAGGTAGGTGCCGTTGGTGGCCAAGGCTAGTCGGCGATCTAGCCTTGTCGGGCAAATGACCGCAATGGCAAACATTAGGCAAAACACTGGCAAACATTTATGGCAAACTGGCAAATGGCAAAACTGGCAAACAGCAATGGCAAACAGCTATGGCAAAACAGCAAAAAACGTAATAATAAGGCTAATTATAGTAGCAATAGGAGTTTGCCATGACAATTCTGCCAAGGCAGACCTCCGGCACCTGTCACACTGATGATCAGTGGAAAAAAGGACGCATTCTATAGTAGTCTATAGATTGTATCCTATAAAGAAAAACAAATAAAAAAAACAACCCGATACAACCAAAACAAAACAACAAAAAACAAAACTAAAACAAAAATAAAGAAATTAACCCGAGTATCAACAAACATTACCAGGGTGGGGAAAGGGCGAAGGGGAACAGAGC